GAATGCAGAGGGTCCAATGAAAGCCTGCTGAGTACAAACCCTGGAGGGACAGAGATGACTAACCAGCAGACTACCCTCCAGGACACTCAGACAGACTTCTTCTGCTGGGCTGGCAGCCCTGCACGCAGGTCACAGGCCCTTCCATGGAGGTGACCTAGGTCAGGGTGAGGAGGAGCCAGCTTCATTCACATGGAGGAGGAGGAATTATGGAGAGTTGCGGGGGGCAGGAAGAAGGGGTGGGCACAGATGTTGAGACAGAAGAGCTGGGCATCTGGACAGGAGAGGAGCAAGCCACCGTGGCTGGCAAGCGACAGTGAGCAGAGGAGAAGTGGTCATGCCCCTTTTCACCATCAGGCTTCACCATCAGGCAAGCTCCCAATGCTGGTAGCCTGCCAGGCAGGTGTGGCCAGAACCCCTGTCCCTGAGGCGTCTTTAGGGTAAGGGAAGCACTGGCTCAGGTCAGCCTGACCAGCCAGACTGGAGAAGGGACGGAATGAGTTTAGGACTGGTACAGTCTCCCCGTGCCCTGCCCTACCCCATCCCCATTCTGTGCATAATAACCATAGTGCCTTTGCAGTGTAGAGGGTGGTATCCCAGCTGTGCCCCCTGCTATTTGACCTTGTCCTTTAGTTTCCTCATCTGTCAGACGGGGCTAGTAACCATGCCTGCATTACAGGTTTGCTTTAGGAGTGAAGTGCTCAGAAGTGTGCCTAGCTTACAGTAACCACTCAGCTGCTATTAGCAGATGCTGCTCTTGGTCTCAGGCATTCTTTGCCTGGCACATGGTGTGAGCTCAATCACCCCGATTGCTTGTGTGTTCACTGGATCATGGTACATTCAGGGGGTGCTTCTCCTGGCACAGTCCCAGCCACGGGAAGGCTTTCTTGGGGGAGGAGGGGCTGGTTGGGCCTCTCAAGCTCCTTTAGCCACTTAGGCTTTAGTCCAGAGGAAGCAGCAACTTTCTTCACTGGGAAAGTGTTGTGGGGCTCAAGCATTTAGGGGTTTTTAGAGTCAACTGTCGGAGGCGCGGGCGTTTCTCTGCAGGGGCTCTCAGCGTGCTCTCAGCCTGCGAGCAGACCGCTGCGGTCTGCAGGGAAAATGCCGACTGCGTTTATTTTTCACCTGTGCTTGCAGGAAGTGGGGGGTTGAAGGGTAAGGGACAACCCAGCCAGGCCCAACTTCAGAGCAGAGAAGCAGAGGACTACCTCAGGAGTCCCCCATTTCCACCCTCTGCTGCCTGGTGCCAGCCTGCTAAAAAAGAGGAACGCAGGGTAGGGCACCAGAGTGAGGAGCTATGGGCTAATGAAAGTATCCCCCAAGGACTTGGAGCATGTTTGGGACAGTAGCTGTGGGTCAGTGTGTGGGGAGTCTTTGAACAGTAAGAGCAACAGAGTGGCAGGAAGGACCACCTCTGCTGGGAGAGAGCCGGTCACCAGGTAGGAGGCTGGTGGCTGTCAGGTAGCCCTAGAGTCTGAGTCCTAGACAGGCTGATAGGAAATTGCAAGGGCTCAGGCAGAGACAAAGGCAGGGTTCTGTGGTGTCCTGATCAAGAAGTAGGAACTGCCCTTGAGTCATCCATGCATTTGTGCATCCCTCCATGCTGTGAGCACTGACTGTGTGTTTGCTTTCATAATAGAGATGAAGTTGTGCTGTTGAGGTACTCAGGCCTAGTAGGGACTGTCAACCCAGGCCTGCCTCCTTCTCTTGGGAGCTAGGCACCATCAAGTGGAGTAGGGAGGGGGAGCTACAGTCTCTGGGCTCCCCATACAACTCACCAGGTCAGGCCCCAGGCAACCCCACCCTGTTGTCTGGGAAGTCTGGCCCTGGGACAGCCTTGTGCTGAAGCCCTGGAGCGGGACGTTCCACTGGCTGAGGAGGGCCAGGGGCCCTGTGCCAGATGGTTCCCCCTGACTACAACTACCAGGCATGGAGGGGGTTGAGGAGTAAGGCTGAGAAGCAGCCTGTGTGAACGTGGGAAGAACTAGCCAGGACCTCAGTGCCATCCCTGGGGCCCTAGTCTCCTCAGGGCCTCTAGCTGCTGGCAGATTTTCTGCCCTCGCCCCTCCCCCCAGCACTTCTCCTGTGGTTTGATGGCATACTCTTGTTTAATGAGACTTTTCCCCAGTTCCCAGGGAAGGTTGGTAGACAGGACAAACTCACTGCCCCCACCGTATACATAAATAGCAGGCCAGCTGCCATAGACTTAGCTGGGTTCTCTGAGGTTTCCTAGGCCCAAACTTAACTGTGGTGCAACCTGGAGCTCAGAAAGCAAACTGGGACCTTTGGCAGTGAGTGGTGGAATGCTTTCCATCAGGGTCCAATGTTCCTTAAGGAGAGAGCCCTGAGGCCTAGTTCCCCTGCCCTTAGCTGCCACAAGGCCTGCCATCTGGTTGGCAGTGTCCTGGATCCTATTTTAATAGGTATTCATCACTTGCTCCCCAAAACTTAAAGACAAAGCAAGATTTTTGCATCTGTGAGCAATGAGGGGGTAAGACTGATTTTCTTTGTTTTTTTAAGACTGATTTTCTCATTCCCATTTGACAAGGGGAGAAATTTCAGGCTCAGAGAAGGGGTAAAACTATCGTATAGTGAAAAGGTCAGTGAAAAGATCAGTAAGCCTAGAGCTGGGATTGCCACCTTATCTCGCATTATGACACACTTAAAAATTACCACTGGGGAAGACGCTGAAGTGCCCATGGCAGTTGTTAGCATTCATTGTAAATGAGGAAGGGAATACAAAGTACAAGTTAGAAAGGGAGCTGGGGCCTGATCACACAGAGCTTTGTAGGCCTGGGTAAGGAGACAATCAACGAGGCCACGAAAAGTGACATCTGATGATGTGGCTGCTGGATGAAGGACTGACTAAGGGGACAGGGAAAATGTTGCTGCAGTTGTCCAGGTGAGAAGCAATGATGAGCTGGACCGGAGAGGAGACAGGGAGGAAGGAAGAAGTGGTGGGATTCTACATTTTGAAAGTAGAGCATTAGAATTTGCTAACAAAGTGGACAGTAGGGTATGAGAGAAAAAGGAGAGTCAAGAATGACTCCAAGGTTTTTGATCTGAGAAGTTCTTCAGTTAATGGAAGGATGGAGTTGTCATTAACTAAGAAAGATAGAGGAGACAGAGGAACATACAGAGCAGAAAGTCAAAGGTTCTGATGTGGCTGTGTTGAGTTTATGGACATTTTAGACCTTCAAGCAGATCTGAATAGGCATTTGGAGAGTGGAATTCCTAGAAGTGGTGCTGGAAATAGAAATGTGGAGTGATCAGATGAAGATGTGTAAATCCACAGCCTGGAAGAAAAGGGAATGGGGAACCAGAAACAGGCCAAGAAAGAATGGCCTGTGAAGTTGGGGAGAAATTGGGTGAGTGGCATCGAAAGCCAAGTGACAAAAACTTGGCTTCAAGGAGGAGGGAAAAATCAGTTATGTCTGAATCTGCCAAGTGATTGGGTAAAATGAAGACTGTGAAATGACCATTGAGTTCAGGATTGTGGAAGTCATTGCGAACCTTGACAGATCATCTGGGGCAAGGAGACAGCTGGCTGGGTTGAAGGGAGAATGAGAGCTGAGATCTGGAGGCAGCAAATGGGAATTGCTGAGGTTTCTGTAGAGGGCAGCAAGCCATGAGGTGGTAGCTGGGGGAAGATTTACAGATGGGAGAAATGTTTGTATGCTAGTGGAACTGAGATTGAGCTTGCAAGGTACTTGGCATAGTGCCTGAAGGATACCATATGTCCACACATCAACAGCTGCCCAGCCCCATTCCTCTCTCCTTTGTTAGCCTCCTATCAAGGTATCAACTGTCTGCCCAGGAGAGGGAAGCCTGGGTATCCCCAAGACCTGAGGGCAAGGGTGCAGCTTATTGCTGGAGGCAGGAACGCAGGGAAAGATGGCAGGTCAGGGCTGTTGCCGAGAGTTGAGGGAGCCTGTGCCCAGCTGAAAGCTCATGTTCTGGCCACGTGGGGCTCAGACCCAGATTTCCTATCATCTTCACCCTGGAACCCTAGAAGCCAGATACCAAGGAGCCTGTGCTAGGCTGCACTCATTACCAGGGAACAAAACTGAAGATCTTAAGAAATCTTAACTACATTCCTCCAGTAGGGAATTATACCCATAGTGTGGGGAGGAACCCAGGCCACACCCTCTTCTTACTGTCTTGCCCCAAAGATGTCCCCTCTTTCTTCTGTGCTATGGGTCAGAGATCTGTGGTCTCAACCAGCAGCATCCTCACAAACTCTTCTGAGTGGGAAGCTGAGCCTCAATTGTAAAAATGTCTCCAGAGTCATGACCTGAACAGTGTGTGCTGAGGAAATGTAGAGATAGCCTCCTGGCAGGGGCAGTCTGTGTCTAGGTCACGTAGGGAGCCCTCTTCCCAGCCTGCTGACGGAATCATCTCTTGACTGAGCCATTAGACTACTGTGAAAGTAAGAGTCCTGTGGTGCTGAGGAAACCAGAAGAATGGGGGCTGGCAGGTTGGCCCTAGGGGAACCAGGCCTCGTTTCCCACCCAGCCCCACCTCCCCTGCATTAGTGGCCTAAGAGGGTCCTGCCCTATATAATTATTCCTGTCCTTCCCAGTTATGCAGGACAGAGGGTGATCCAGGAAGTCAGGACCTCCTTTCCTAAAGGATGAGGAGAAAGCTGCCTGGGCTGGTGATTCTGAGCAGCCTGCAGACTAGCCATTGGCTTCAGAGAAAGTAGGGATCTCTGTGACCAGGAAGGCAGGAGGGGCTTGTTGACAGGAGAGATGGGCCTGGAATTGAATGCCCAGAAAGACCATTTGGGCATCCAGGGCTGGTAAGCAGGAAACCATGGACATAGGGAAGGCTGAGTGGTGCCCCTGTCCCTGAGGCTGTAATTTCGACCACCACCACTTTCCTTTGACTGCTGGGCTGCCTACACAACTCACTGGGCCTCTACCTGCATGCACACCCCCACTCACATGCTTTCCTCCCTGAGGACTCCTCAGTCGCACTTATCCTCCCACTCATTTTTTCAGCACAAGGCCAGCCAGCCCCCACATGGCGTCCCCCAACTCTCTCCTCTCTACGAACATTTCAGCAGTCCACACCCCACACCTGCACCTGCGGACATCAGCCAGAAGCAAGGTATGGGCCTGGGATGGGAGGGGCCCACTGAGACTGGTGCCTGAGAACCAAGTTCCTGGCCCATTTTGCACCTGCAGAATCTAGAGCTGTGCAAACCCAAGATCCAATGAAAATGCCACAAAGATAGACTGGTAACTGAGGGCACCAGAGGGCTGGGGGTGGTGGTGGTGCCAGATCAAAATGTGAAGGCTTCAGGTTGAGGTAGGAGTCTTCATTCCTTGGGTGACCCCTAGTACCAGTATGAGAGCAACATCTGTGCACTGCTAACTAAAACTCAAAGCCTTTCCCTCCCCCAGTGAGAAAATGGAAAGTGGTGGTTGTGATGGCTGATTCACCTCAGCCTCAGCTAAAGTCATTCTGAAATCCACCAGTGTCAGCTGTGGGAAACCTGCTGACTCAACCTTGGGGCCTGGTGGAGCCTGGCTCCCCAAGCCAGCTTACTCTACACCAAGGGGCCTTCCTCCTACCCAGAAAGCCAGGCCAGAGTCCACAGCAAAGAGTCTCCAATTGCAGAGCAGCAGTGGACCAGGGAGTGGTGAGGCCTGGTATCCCACTCCTGAATGATTCCAACTCTGCCTGCTGACCAAACAGGTCACCCACCCTCTCTGCCCTGGTTCAGGAGGCCACTTACCACCCTAGGATAGTCTTGAACAAACCAGTTTATGTCTAGACCTCTAGCAAAGTGAAATGGGGATCTTACAGTGCTCTAGAATGCAGTAACTACTGAGATTACCACAGATCAGACTTAGCCCACTTACTTGGCCTTTCCACAGGCATTCACAGGCCTCTGCAGTCCCCTGAACTCTCTGGATTCTACTCTCTGACCTCAGGCAACATGGGACAGCTCCCCCACACTGTGAGCTGGTGAGTGTGGACCCATGGGAAAAGGGCACTGTGCACTGGAAGGACCCATACCTGCCCTTCTGTTTTCCTCCTCCATCCTTCTACACTGAGTGTCCTGCTGTGGGCGCTATACCACAGGCTGGCCAGCAGCTCTGTACCAACCTGGCTGTGAGCTGGAGGTCCTTGTGGCCCGTTGGCCTATGTGTATTCCCTAGGTAAACTGAATACTTCCTCGGGGGGAGGTAGGAGAGCTGGCTACTGATCTCAGCCCTCTTATCCCTGAACTCTGTCATGGGAGAACTCTGGGCTAGTCAGAGGCCTTCAGAACCATATGACTGTGAGGAAGAGAAGGTAGGCCTGAGCACAGACAGCCACCAGAGAGGCTGCTGCTTCTCAACAGCCTGGTGTACAGGGGGATACTTCCTGCTGGCCTCAATGCCTGCTGCTGGTTGATTCCTTGCTTGGCTGAGTTGCTTGAAGAGCAGGGTACTTCCTTGTCCCTATGGTTCCTGCTTGAGCCCATACCCCTGATGAGCATGTTTGGAGTCTACTAATGCTGGGCCAGGAAAAGGCAGCCTAGATCCCCAAGTCAGATCTGACTGTGTGCCAAAGAGTCCATTCTCACCTGGAATTGGGGCTCAGCAGCAGGCCACTTAGCCTTTTATTTGTTAACCACAGTGTGACCTGGGCAGGTCTCTTCCCTCTCTGGGGTAGGATAGTCACCCTGCCTAGGAAGGAAAGACTCACTTATCAGGAAGTTAGGGAAGGCCGGAGGCTCAACCTGGGGCCCACCTGCCTCTTTCCACTTGCCCCTACCCATGCATTTCCAGATTCTCTTTGGAGAATACAAATCAAGACTATCCCCAAGACTCCTTGGATCAAGGGTGGGGTGAGAGTGCTCACAGCCCAGTCTGATGGGGCTAGGCCAGGGTTCTACAGGAGCAAATCTCCAGCCAGCCTCTTGAAGGAGTCCCATAAGATAGCAGCTCCAGAGACAAGAGACTTAAGCCTAGAGAGGATGCTTACCCAACTAAGACTCTAAGGAAGGGCTTTAGACCAAGGGAAGGGGAGCCCTGTGTTCTCAGCTCCCACAGGTAGCACTTGGCTGCCAGGAAAGAAGTGGGGTATTTTAGCCATCTCTGCACTAAGCCCTGCCATATGCCAGGCAGAATTCTTGATGCCAGGGAAGCACTGCTTAAGCTGACTGGTCCTTACATCCCTGCCTTCTCAGAACTCAGTTTGCCTAGTGAGTGACCCAGGCGAGAAGTCAAGACTATTACAGGGCTGTAGCTGTTCGCTTTGCTTTGGTTGGGGATGTAGGAGCCCAGAAAGGAACCTCATTCCCAATCCCTGGGATTTTGGGAAAAGGGTCACTTAGTCAACTAAGATCTGAAGGATGACCAGAAGTTGAAGCAGGCAAATTGAGGCCTGAAGAGCAATCCAGACAGCATCAATAGAGGGTGCAAAGGCTCTAGGACAACTGTCAAGGAAATTTAGGAGGCAGGATGGAAGGCCCAAGGGAGGCTACTAAGCTGGGTCTTGGGGAAAAAGCTACCACACTATCCCTTAAAATACTAACACAGTAAACCACAGTAAACCTGAGTGTTCCAACACTCAGGAAGCTGAGGCAGGAAGATTGGGAGTTCCAAGCCAACCTGGACTACATGGTGAGACCCAGTCTCAAAACAAAACGGGCTGGGTGCCATGCCTCAAGTCTGTAATCCTAGCTACTCAGGAGGCAGAGATCAAGAGGATCACAGTTGGAAGCCAGCCCAGGCAAAAAGTTTGTGACACCCCAGCTCAACTAGTAAAAGTTGGGTGTGGTGGCATGCACCTGTCATCCCAGCTACGCAGGAAGCAGTCCACATTGGGCCTGGCAGAAGACAGGACCCTATCTCAAAAATAACCAAAATAATCAATGCAAAAGGGGATGGGGGTGTGGCTCAAGTGATAGGAGCCTAGTTTTGCAAAGCCTTGAATTTAATCCCCAGTATTACCAAAAAACAAAAACACTAGTACAAACTGGCAGAGAGAAATATGAGCAGCATAAGTTGCCCCCTAGTGGCAGATCCTTGAAACACACACTGGAGTGATCCCAGCAGAGGCCCATTTGTCTCAAAGACTGTATGTATGGGTCAGGTACAGCAATGTGCACAAGTCCTTCCCCATGTCTGGCTGGCAGCCAGGCTCCTAACAGCTGTCTCTCCCAACCACAGGCCCAGCCCTCCTCTCTACCCCTTGTCCCCTTCCTGCGGATATAGACAGCACTTCCCTGCCCCCACTGCAGCCCCTGGCGCCCCCTACCCCAGGTGAGTCCCCTACCACTGCAGCCAGGCTCCTGCTTCCTGTCACCCAGGCTTCAGTGCCCACACAGGGCCATGCTCAGGCCAGTGCTTACCGTGTTAAGTCGTTTGTCCATCTGTGCATTTGTCATCTTGGAGCCCCCTGCTGCTCCATACCTGAGAACAAAGCTAGTGGGAATGCAAGAGGCCTCAGCTCAGGCCACACTGTGCAGCAGAGCACTACAAAACAGCCCGAATAGCAATGCACTCATGGTTAACTCACCTCTGTTCTGCACCCTGCTGGGCATTCTGAGCTCTGCCCAAGCTGAGGCAGTACCTTTTACATAAGTGTCCCCAGCTGCTAGCCCTAGGGCTGTCCATGCAAGCACCAAAGGGTAGAGTGGTCTCCACAGAACAGTAAGAAAGAGGTGGGAGGTAAATGTGCAGGTGTCACTCACACTGTGGCAGACCTGGTGTCAGGCATGCCATGGCAAGGAATTTAGCAGACATTTCCAGCTCTAATGGAGCTCATAGCCCATTAGAGGTATAGACAGCACCAGCAGCTGAATGGGCCAGCTGGGTGATAGAGAAGCCCCAGAGAAACTCAACCCAGCATGATGAATCAGGGAGAGGATCATGGGAAGGGTAACATTGCCTGAGAGAGGCAAACAAAGAGATTGGCAGTAGCTGGAGCTGTCTGGGGGTGGTGACTGGCAGGAAGCAGAAGATGGGGCTAGAGGTATGTATCAGCAGCAGGGACGTTTAAGCAGCGCTGTGCAGGCCCTGAAGGAGGGGCCCAGGTTTGCTTCTATGAGCGGTGGGAAAATTTGAGCAGGAAGGGGCCAGGAGCATTCTCTTACAAGCCACTCTGGCTGTTGTGTGGAGAGGGGCCTGGAGGAGTGGAGTGGGAGAATGAGGCAGGCCACAGGGCAGCCACAGGCTCCAGAGCCTAAATTGGTGGAGGCAGGTAGTAAGAAGGAGATAGTTAAAAGCCATTTGGGACTTCAGTAACCACCTAATGGCATAGGTGTAGATTTTTTGCAATGTGTCTGTCCAGTGTGTTGAAAGCAGGTATTTGTACGTTTATCTCTTGTGTATTTGTGTCCAGGCCAGTGGCGGGGTGGAGTGGGGAGAGAATCTGTTCATCTGTGTTCCCATGCACTGTGCAGGCACTTCAGTGTGTGTCTAAAGTCTGGCCCGTAAGTCCTGGCTCAGTGTTAACTCTCCTCCTGCCTCTAGGTTCACCCACCCGTCCTTGATGCTGGGCTCTGGTGTACCTGGTCACCCAGCAGCCATCCCCCACCCAGCTATTGTGCCCCCTTCAGGGAAGCAGGAGCTGCAGCCCTATGACCGCAGCCTGTGAGTAAAAACACATGTGATGGGAAGGAGGGGCAAGGCAAGGTGGTGTGGGATGGGCAGTCAGCAGATCTATTCACTCAGCCAGGAACACACACCTCTCAAGGGCCCAAGGCCTGCTTCCTGGCAGCTCAAAGGACTGCCAGGAGGCTGCTGCCAGGCCATCTTCTGGCTTTAATCCTCAGAAGCAGGAGAAGGTAGACGGGATGAGGAATAAAGATTTTGTTTTAGCCAAGAAGGTAAAGGCTGAGAAGTCCTTAACACACACATTTCCCACTTGGCTGTAGTATTCCTGAAAGCAACAGTTACTTAGCACTGTGCTCCCTCAGGCGGGGTAGTTAAAAAAAATTACATTTATAAGGCCGTAGTATGACACACTTTATAAAACCTCACTATCATGTGCACCCACCCTTGGGAGGGGACATTAGGTGCTGACCACTGAGGGGATGCTCCTGAGAAATCCTGGTATGTGCCCCTCAGAAAAACGCAGGCAGAATCCAAGGCAGAGAAGGAGACCAAGAAGCCAACCATCAAGAAGCCCCTCAATGCCTTCATGCTGTACATGAAGGAGATGAGAGCCAAGGTCATTGCAGAGTGCACACTCAAGGAAAGTGCTGCCATCAACCAGATCCTGGGCCGGAGGGTAAGGCCATGGGCAAGTGGGCTGGCAGGGATGCCCCGACCCTTCTTCACCTGATGCACCCGTCTGCCCCTCTTCCCTGTTGCAGTGGCATGCGCTGTCGCGTGAAGAGCAAGCCAAGTATTATGAGCTGGCCCGTAAGGAAAGGCAGCTGCACATGCAGCTGTACCCAGGCTGGTCGGCACGGGACAACTATGTGAGTGACAGGAGATACACGGCGGGGTGGATGAGAGCCTTGAGATCCCTTGAGATGCCACAACCTCAGCACAGAAAGCAAAACTACTGCTCTCATGAAAAGATGAGGCAGGGCATGGAAGGTCCAAAGCCTCCCACGGTTGGTTACCTCTGAAGAGGCAAGCTTGAGGAACTGCCCTAAAGGCAGGCCCACATCCTGTCCACTCCAGAATGCATTCACGCAAGGGGCTGTTGCCCAGTGTCTGGTTGGGCCACATGGGTAGAAGAGAAAGACAGCCTGGAAATCCATCCTTCCATTCAACTTGGAAGTCAAATTTGGGAGAGGGAGGAGTTCCTAAATGCACTCCCACAGTAGCCTTGCAAGAACTTCAGTTGACAAACACAGGGGGACTGGAGACATGGTTCAAGTGGTAGAGTGCCTGCTTGGCATTTGGGAAGCCCTGAGTTCAAACCCCAGCACCACCAAAAAAGAAAAAAAAGAAACACCAGGGCCCCAAGGTAGGAAGGATGCCCAGAATCCTAGGGGCAGCTGAACTAAGCAACAGGCTGCAGATAATCCACTGTCCACCTTCCAGATTTGAGCATTCCTCCTTTTGTTCCTTGCAGGGAAAGAAGAAGAGGCGGTCAAGGGAAAAGCATCAAGAGTCCTCCACAGGTGAGCCCTTGCATCAGTGGTAGTGAAAGCTTCTCTCCATGTCTCCATTTCAAGAGCAGCCTTGTTCTGGCCCAGAGGGAGGGGAGAGTACTCAGGAACCTTCAGGGCCTGGGGCCCTCTTGCCCCTGCATCTCACAAGTCTAATTCAACGCAAGTAACAGCTTAACTGAGTACCAGTAGAAGCCAATTTCTGTAGTAGGTGGTATGGTCCTGTCACTTTTGCCAGCCTTATTCATAACTAGCCTCTACTAGAGAAGCTAGCAAGGGGTTCCATGAATAACCCTGCCTAGTTCTGCTGAAGTAGGGAGCAGGCTGTCTGGTCAGGGGCTGAGCCAGGTTCCATGTAGTCACACAGCGTGCTGGCTTGTACCTGGTGATTTCTCCATCACCAGTTTCTCAGTCCTTACCCCAGTGTTTCATGTCAATGCAAAGTGCTGTGTGGAGGACCCAGGGAGCCCACACTCTGCTGCAGGCAAATTCCTGCCTCCAACTCTTGATTCAGACTCCAAATCCATGACTTTCTCAGCTGTGCTGCTCACACACAGGGAAGCTGGAAGCAAGGGGAAAAGTCCCTACCCTTTCTCTGAGGATAGGAATGGGCCTTTCTTCCCATCTGAAGTGTGAAGCATAGGCATAAGCTGTAGTCTTAGCCCTCAAGGGAATGTAGGTCAAAAAGACTGGACTTAGGCAAGAATGAAAAAAAACTGGATTAAAATAGACAATAACTGGGTGGATAGTCCCAAGGCAGAAAAGGCAGGATTTCCAAAGGCCTTCGTGAGATTTTCTGGAACATTGATGCTAGAAAGGGGTCCCACAAGCTACAGGAGCCATCTTGAAAGGACCCTCCTCACTCCATCATTCTTCCCACTGACTCTATTGCCCAACTGGGTGACCATCTTTTCTGGTATCTTGCTCTGGGCCCTAGGGGCTAGCTGTGCCATGAACAGGTCCATTCTGTCTGTGGGGGCTCTGGGATATCTGTAACTGGCTAACACTGATGTCACCTCTTCTTTCTGGGCCCTGCTCTGCCCTGCTGCCTGCCTGCTCGCCCTCTGCCCTGCTCTGCCCCTCTGGCATGGCTGTGAGCAGACCCTGGCTCGCCTAAGAAATGTCGTGCTCGCTTTGGCCTCAACCAGCAGATGGATTGGTGTGGTCCGTGCAGGTGGGTTTGTCCCCACCATCATTCTCCCTTTGCTTCAAGCTGCTTCCCTGACTGTACATGTTCTGCTGGGACTATAGCCCTCTCCTTTGGCCCCTCAGCATCCTAACATACCTAGGAGAGAAAGGAATCCATGTCTCCTAAGAATGGGAGTGAACACTGAACACTTGTCAAGATCACTTGGGTCTAGGTGGAAAGAGTGGAGGCAGAAACAGAACATTCTAAAAAGGAAGGAAAGGCAGACTTAAACAGGTGGCTCTGGTGCCAGCCAGGCTTGCCAGGTCCTCAGCAGACAAATCTATCACACATGTGGCTTGAGCCTGTCCCCAGATAACCTCAGTCATTAATGACCCACCAGCTCCTTCACTTCTTCAGGGTGGGGACACTGCGCATACTATCTATCCTAAACCCTTAAGTCTTCAGAATAACAAAGCTGGGCACTGGTGGCTCATGCCTGTAATCCTAGCTACTTGGGAGGCTGAGATTGAGTTTGAGGCCAGCCCAGGCAAACAGTTCACAAGATCCCATCTCGAAAATAACCAGAGCAAAATGGACTGGAGGTGTGGCTCAAGTTGTAGAGTGCCTGCTTTGCAAGCATGAAGCCCTGAGTTCAAACCTCATCCCACAAAAAAAGAAAAGGAAAAAAAAAGTGATGACATTAGAGAACCACCTCAATAAACGGGTTGCCAGGCAGCCATGTGACTTGTTATCTTGTCCCTACTGAGCCCAGTGGGCTAGAGAGGTTGGAGAAGAGAAGCAGCAGTACCCCAGAGCTATTTTAGCTAACGGGCCCTATGGCACCAAACTTACATGTCTCACCATAAAATGGAGAACTACTTATGGGTATGAAAAGGACCATAAGTGGTTACAGTTGCTGCATTTAGATTTTGGCAAGGCCTAGCAGGACCAAGGTTGAAGATAATCCAGACAGTAAGTTAACTGGCTCTAAGGAACACTTGTCCAGCTCATCCACATGCCTACCATGTTCAGGGGCAAGGAGGAAGGAGAGGAAGGAAGGAAGGGGGTGTGTGTGTGGTGTGTGTGTGTGTGTGTGTGTGTGTGTGTGTGTGTGTGTGTGTGTGTGTGTGTGTGTGTGTGTGTAGGGTGTGTGTGTGTGTAGGGTGTGTGTGGTGTGTGTGTGTGTTGTGTGTACAGTGGGAAAATCCCTATCCTTGGAGAAGGTGCTATTCCATGGCTCTAAGGAACACTTGTCCAGCTCATCCACATGCCTACCATGTTCAGGGGCAAAGAGGAAGGAAGGGTGTGTGTGTGTGTGTGGTGTGTGTGTGTGTGTGTGTGTGTGTTGTGTGTGTGTGTGTGTGTGTGTGTGTTGTGTGTACAGTGGGAAAATCCCTATCCTTGGAGAAGGTGCTATTCCATCCATTCCATGCTACTCAAAAGACAAACTGGCTTAAGAACTCTAAGCCAGTAATGTATAAGAAGAGTCAGTCACTATCCATTTCTTTTTCCAGGTTCCAAGCATTGGGACTGCTCAGCCAAGAAACCATAATAATTGTAGCCTCTTGCTTTAGTATAGATCAGAGCTTAACAAATACACAAGAAGCAGAAGCTCAAACACCCCACACTAAGAGATGACTCCCCAGAAAAACATGAGGCAACCCACAGGCCTAGCTACTGATGTTCCCAGTGCCACCTTGTGGCTCTTGTGAGAACTTAACCTGTCCTAGGTCTGGGCCAGGCCAGGCAGAGTTGCAGGGTTGATGCAGGTCTGACAGCACAGGCCTGTCACCCAATTCATGGGGAAGGGGGACAAGAGGTAGCAGACCTGTGCAAGGACAGCATTTTTTGGTTGTGGTGTATGACTATGAATTCACCCTCTGTTTACAGATAACTCTCTTCACTATTCCTAGGAGGAAAAAGAAATGCATTCGGTACTTACCCGGAGAAGGCCGCTGCCCCAGCCCCGTTCCTTCCGATGACAGTGCTATAGGCTTCCCCCAGTCCCCAGCTCCCCAGGACTCGCCCTCATACCTTCTGCTGCCCCACTTCCCCAAAGAAATGCTTGTTAGCCCTGTGGAGCCGGCACCAACATCCTCAGGTCTTTCCGCTACTCTCAGCCTCCCATTCCCTGGACCCCCACAGGCTCCCTGCAGCACGCTGCAGAGTACACAGGTGCAGCAACAGGAATCTCAAAGACAGGCAGCCTAGTATGCGCAAGGCACACCCCAAACGTGACGAAGTGACAAAGATCTAAATCATGTGGAAACCGGCCCAAAGTCCTCTGAGGTTCCAGACCCCGACACTTTCAGAGGCTGCACGATTTCTGCCTAAACTTGAGGCCATCAAACTGCGAGCAGATCTGGCATCCTGGTGCCTATGGCAGCCTGCATCTATTCTTTTTATCATCTGTCTTGCTAGCCAGGTGCCCCTGCCTACCTTGCTTTTCTACTGTAGAACACAGATGGGCTAGATTGAACCCAGCTACCTTCTCTACAAATGCCTCTCCTGTCTCCCTCTGCCTTACCTTCTCCATGCCAGAAACTTCATGGACCAAGAATGACCTGGTTTATCAAACATGCGAGCATAGCTACAACCACAAAGCTCAAGAGGACAACGCTTCCCAAGGGAAAGGAGAAGCTCTTTTTTGGTTTACGGAAAACCAGCTGCTGCTCATAAGCTGGACTAGAGGAGGCCTGTTACTTGTTCTCAGGAGCTTGCAAGAGGAAATGCAATAGGTGAAGTTTGGGCCTGTCAATCTAGGCAACAGGAATAACGACACTACCCTACAAGGCAAGTGTGAGTGGTGGAGAATATCTGGCTTTAGTTCAAATTACTTGGAAATGTTTCCTAAAACACACCAGCCTAAGAAGCCCTGATACCAAGGGTCCTGGGTGCTAGGAGCTGCAGTCAGTAGTTTGGAGTCATGGCCAAATCCAGTGTGCATCCCTCCCCACTCAGAGAGCCTTTCCAGTTTCATGTGCAACTCATCCATGTCAGGTGAACCAGCTCTTTGGCAGCTGACAGGGGGCAAACCTCACACTTCCTAACAGAGCCTATCATTCAGCATTCAGACCAGGCCAGCTTCAGTTCCCCTATGGGGCTGCAGGAAAGAGGACCATTACAACTAAAGCAAGGAGCCCAGAAAACCTCTTAAGTGGTGGACATGGGTTTTCACCATAGCCTACTTTAATCCACTTTTGAGCCAAGCTTCGATCCTGAGCCTTGAAAAACAAGTTTGTTTTTTTCCTAATTTAACTTGTTTTTTTTTCCATCCTTAATTGTACATAGTCTGAATCCAAAGAAAAAGGGCTGTCCGTGTCCTCTACTCAACCCCTCAAGAAAAGCCTTTAGTTCCTACTTTAGTCACTGGTTTCTCAGAATCCAAAGGTCACATATTCTAATGTAGTGCTACAAGAAGTCTTGGAAAAAAAAAAAAAAACAGACCAATGTAGTATTCAAAATATTTTTGTATTGTTAATGCATCATCATAGAACTTTTTTAAACATGAGAATAAAGATACTTTTTACTGAGTTTGTTTCTCAAAGCCTGACCCAAGGAATAAGCTGTTTCAGTTAACAAATCCTAACACTTTTTCTTTTCAGCAGTAACAAAACTTGGAGCTTGTCCCCTATAATGGTACACACATTCCCAAGACTTCAACCTACAAAAGGCACTGGATCCTGCTCTATCTCAGAGCTGAGGTCATGCCGGGTATAAATTCCCTTTCCAAGCTTTGTTCTTAATCCTCTGACCCCATAACTAATACAAGCCTGCCAGCTCCCTGGTGTCCTCATGAGAATCACTGAGTTGGAAACTCTCATCCATAGACACTAAAGGATACAACTGCACCGGAAACAGATGCACATGACCACTAGGTACTATTTCCTCTGAAGGCAGAAAGAAAAGACACGTTCCAAAAGTGCACATCTTATTTCAAGGAAAGCAAGCAACTGAGCTTTTGTATAACCTGATGTCACTGTAAAAACCTATAGAAAGATAATAGCATTTTTTCCTCCCAGACTGTTAAGACACTTACATTTTTCCTATTTTCCTACAAGACCTGTGACACCCGAACGATAATCCACTTTTTACATACCAGTATCCCCCATGTTAAAGTGTAACTTCTGGAGACCTATCATGAATGTGAAAGGCATAAAGCCCCTCAGTAGGTCAGCCATTACACTACAAATACTGAGCATGCAATGTCTTACAAGGGACAGTCACTGGAACACCATAAAGCAGTGTGACTTCACTGAGTTAACAGGTTTGGGATTTATGGTTAAATATGTTACAAATAAAGTCATCTTCCAAAGTAGTGTCCATTTAAAGTAGGCCGTTGGGCTGAGTATGGTACTGCATACCTGTAACCCTAGCACTTGGGAAGCTGAGGCCTGCCTGGGCTACACTGTGAGACCCTGTCTCAAGTAAATAGGCCACTGGAAGTTGTAATCCCAGACGTGCTGCTCTCTGAGAGGGTGTTAGAGGAGACCAGTCATTCTCTGGACATCTGTCCCATTTTAAAGAATTCTCTGGCTACTGGCCTAGTTTCAAAAAACATTCTAACCAGGTTTTGTGCAAGGCTGGGTTGTAGCATCTGGTCTGGTGTCTCATTTAGAGTGCACTGGACATTAAGAACAATGCACCCTTTGTGTAGCTGTGGGGAAGTCTTTGGCAACTTTGTTAGAATCAGAACAAGTCTTTAGAAAAAACCTGACTTCAAAAAAGAAATTTGAAGCCTGGTGCCAACGGCTCATGCCTGTAATCCTAGCTACTTGGGAACCTGAGATTGAAAGGATCCTGGATCAAGGCCAGCCCAGGCAAATAGTTCACAAAACCCTATCTCTAAAATAACCAGAGCAAATGGAGTTGGAGGTGTGGCTCAGGCAGAAGAATGCCTGTTTTGTAAGCACAAAGCCCTGAGTTCAAACCCCAGTCCCACCAAAAAAAAAAAATAGAATCCTCTCAAATCACACCACCTTCAACCTCATATACCACTTCACTTCCTCACAGCCAGCCAAGAACCAATGCATTTTTCTGGTTTCACAGGACAGGATGCCCTAGCCTCGCTTACCCATTCCCAGACAACTGGCAGTCTTAAGACTTTCTTGAAATACAGATCGTGATCACTCCTCTCTACTGCAGCCGCTCCTCATCTTGTGCTAAGAGGATATGGTAAGGGCTCAGCACAGCTAGCTGACAGGGGGCCTTCCCACATCTCCCAATTTGAAGGTGCTTCTCCCTTTTCTAAGAAGCCCAGTAGCCACTCTTCTGAGTTGTAACTATTTTCTGAGGGCTATGGCCAAGTTCCTTTTGGCTAGGAACCAAGCTGGCTCGTAAGTACTGCTGCCTGGCTCTGTTCAGCATGAATCTAGGGAGTCCCCAGATAAGAATGGTTTTTTACATTGCAGAAAGAAAAGGAATCAATTCCTGCAATCATTTGTAGGAGAAACAGAACAGAGGGCCATGTCAAATCCCACTTGCCAGGCTGATATAGCAAAGTAGAGGAATATAAGACCACAAACTTACAAATTACATTAAAAAAAGCCAAACAGACTTTTTTTTGAGGTTGGGAAAGTTGTGTTAGGCTCTCAAGTTTATTCATGGCTGAGTTTAATAAGGTCCTTTGAATAGAGTAGTCCACTTAAGCAGACTCTGGTTTCTGTGTTACTCCCCTAATTACAATTATGGCAATTACCTTCCTGTTCCAGATTGCAAATCCTCCTAAGGGCACCTTTTAAACTCAGGCACCTGAGCTCTCTATAAAGGGATGCCTTTGTGGATCTTTGAGAAAACATAAAAATTATAAAGTGAAACCTAATCTGCATTAAATATAGACTTGTGAAAGTGAGCTATTAAAACATAATAGCACTTCAAAACCAAGAACTTCTACAACCTAAGAATCATTACAATCCATTTCAGGGGGTATTTCCTTAGCCTACTATAGGGACCAGTTAGGAAGAGAGAAATATGCTAATGTTCAAGAATGGTGTGGTTTGCTTATAAAAGGCATTCAATGAAAAGCTTCATCCCTAGAAAAGTACCGTATTGTAGGCGGCAGTTATGCATTCTCCATTGGTACAGAGAAAACTGACACATGCCTTCAGTAGTAGCTGGCAATCATCCAAATCTGCCCAATACCTTCCTCATTCTCCTTCCAGGCAAAATGAAGGGCATTTCCTAATTAAGCCCTGAGATTAAGAAGGGGTTCCTCCCCTCATCTGTATATACCACTAGTTAGAGAATGGCCTTCGTAATTCATCATCAATAACCACTTTTCCAAACCAAGGCCACTATCAGTTCTCATCTCTAACACATGGAAACCATTCTCATTTTCATTATGCCCTAACTTGTATTTCAGGAGGACCTCTATTTCTTACATAGAAATTCATGAAGCATCAGGTGGCCAGAATAACTAATATAAAGCAGACTGCACTATACGGAAAGTAGCAGCTACTATTTTCAACTGTCCAAGGCTGTCCATGATGAGTTAAAGTCTGAAGGCAAAGAAAGGCCTTTCTGTTTGGAATGTGGGTATCTCAAAAAGTAAAAAAGTAAGAAAAATTTGAAAATTAAAAATGTCCAAGGCCACGCAGGCACTAAGCAGCAGAGACAAGACTCCAGCCTTAAGGTATAATTTTTTCATGACGTTTGTGTAGAGTAAGAGGTAAGAAGGTAAGAATGTGTTTTTGAAGACTGAGGTTTAGCTGCTATGGCTAATAGGAAAGGACCACTCAATATAAGTGAGTGCCTAAAAACTCTTGGCAGACAAGAGTAATGAGCATATAGCATGGAACAGGGAAAGAAGTGTAGGAAATGACTGGAGGGAGAAAAGAGAGGCCAGGGCCGCAGTCTACAAAACATCAAGGGAACAAAAATTACTGTATTTTTCTATCCATTCTAGCTTTCTGAAAGATCTCAGTAGCCTTTAAATATGAAGTGATGTTCCTCACACTTGTCATTCTGACAACTCCTCAGCGTGATACAGATTAACAGCTAATAATAAACTGGGCTTGGTGGCTGGTGTGTACCTATAATCCCAGCTACTTGGGAGACTGAGGAAGGACTGCCTGGGCCACAAGGTCAGATTCCAAAAGGGGGAGGGGCTCATAAATAGCAGGTTCCTTACCTCCTAAAAACTGATACTTCCTTCACAAACTTAACATGGAATATGCTACTAAAGCTGGAACTTCAGTGAAGATTTGGGTTTGTCAGAACACTACCGGAGATAGTTGAGATGGGTACAGGAAATATTATAGTAGCTTCTGCAAGTAAGACAATCTAGCTTAGACTGGACTGTTACCTTCCCCCACTGAATCAGGACAAATGGAAACAAGCTTAGTTCCTGATCACAGGAGTCAACAAACTTATGAGTAAATATTTATGCTTTTTGGTCAAATACATTGTTTTATTTTTCTATCAACAATTTAAAATGTAAAAATCATTTTAAGCTCAAAAACAAACTATGGCCCAGATATGACCCACGCCATGTGTTATGGTTTGCTATCTTCTGGTATAGAAAACAAATGGAAGTTGCGGTACACTCCTGTAACCCCAGCACTTCAGAGGCAGGATGATCACTAGTTCAAGGCCAGCCTCGGTTACAATGGTTTATCTCAAAACAACAAAGATACCAAATGGGAATTATGTGGAACATAGGGACTTTATTAGTAAGGTGAATTTGGGAGATATGATGTTTAAAAAAAAAGTTACTTTTGAGTGATTACTTGTAGCATAACTCAAAGTAAATGGGAAGAGAATATAACAACATGTGAAGACAGGTAAGTTAACTAGGAAAAGGAAAAAAGGGAGCACAAGTAGGAAAGAAAAAAAAAAATCCAAATGTGTGAGCCATCTCAAGCCATCAAAAATTTTGATACCAGAGTGGGGAAGCTGGGAACACCAGCACTGAGGCACAGGTTCCAGTTAACCATACAAATGTTACTTAGAAGAGATTTGCCTAGCTATAGGTACTCTGATTATGTCTGCAGAACTAGGGCAGAAACTGCCTAAGAACCTCTTCAAGCTAGACAAATGTAACCAAATTTAACCCATTTCTTCAGTGAAGAGACAAACACTCAAGTCCAAAAAAGCAAACTACAGGTTTACTACCTACTATATAATTTACTGTTTATTTAAAGTATCTTCAACTCATAATAGATGTTGCCTGAGTTTTGTCACACATTTTAATGTTAAAGGTTTAATTACTTTATTACATGCAAGTAGTGTGAATGGTTCTCCCCACATGGGAACACTGATTATAAAAAGATGACATATCACATGAATTGTCTTTTTAAATTGAAAAGCTAACACATTGTCTACTTACATTTCTCCCAAAAACCCACAAAACAGGTAGTAACTGATTCTAAACATACTCAAAGCTGTGAAGATTAAAAAAAAAAAAAAAAAAGTCCTCAAGTCCAATTAAGAGCCCTGCTTCATGTAAGCTGATCAGTATCAGTGGTACGTGCTTGACTCCAGGAGTCTGGAAGACATCCCAATATCCCCACTCAGACCATTAACTTCAAGTAGGCCTTTTCCAGTTTCCAACTCATGAATAAAGATAATAAAACTTTTTGCAAGTTGTTTTATTTACAATGCCAACTTTTAAAAGCTTAACTAGAGTTAACTGGACAATGAACTAGGCAGAAATTGCTTGACAGAAGAGGAAAAGTCCAAAATGCCACTTTCTACAGAGAACCCATAGTTCACTTTTATTCAGAGTAAAGAGAAAAGCTTTTGCTCATACTAGCAGAAACTCAGCCATAGGTTTGGAGTCTGTACTCAAACTACACATGCAATAAGGACAATCTTATGCTAATACAATTGATGTGCTGCTTCATTTGTCTACTGTTTGTCTAATATTAACAATTATAAACAGAGCAGTGCAACTAGTATTTGGAACAATCCTTATAGTGTTACAGTGTCAGGCACATTTCACTTTTCTTCACACCACTGGTTCTCTTTGCGTACCTAGAAGAGACAGACATAAAAGTACTTTAAGTAGTCTTTATTAAGACTTGTGTGTAAGTACTACCTCCTGATTCATCAATAGCCTATGAGGCAAGTCAGGACAGATGGAGAACTAAAAATAGCACATTAAGAGTAAACTTTCCGAATCCTTTGTCTCCCCAGGTTTTTATTCTGCCCAGCTGAAATTAGAAAAGCAAAGGCAGCAAGCTTCAGTTTCAGTCACTAAAGCTGACAAAACATATTCAATTACTTCATTCACTAATTTCAGTTTATATCCATGTCAACAAAACCTTCTAAATCCATTCATTTCCTCCCCATTCCCCAAGTTGCTCTCAAGTATTCCAGCACTCACTCATTCTTTGGGCCTGCTTTTCTAAAATCAAGTTATGTATGGCCTATACAAAAGGTCCAAGGTGCTAAAAGTAGAAACGGCTAATGAATCAGTATGAAACAGATACTTTGGTTCAAAACCTACTTTGCATATGCTTATGAAAGAGCAGTGTACTCAGACTCAAGAGACAGATCAGTAAAAGAGTATATGTATGTAGGACACAGAAAGTACCTGTTATCCATCATGTATCAAGACTCCGTGTGAGGAATTCTCTTTTCATGGCATATTAATGGGTTTCGATCTCTTGAAAAAGCATGTGATCAAAAATAAACTGTGATACCTACCTGGGCTTCCTCCTCTTCAGTAAAGTCGTTTTTGATATTGAAGGTTTTGCGAATCTCCTCAGGAGTTTTCCCCTTAATCATATTGGCAACAGTCTTGCATGTAACATCAAGCAAACCTTTTATGTCTAAGTAGTTTGCAGCCTATAAAATGATAGCTGTTTTCATTAAAGCATACTAGAGGTTTCAAACTAATTCCAGAGTTACTAACCATCTATGTCTAAGCTTAAAATGCTAGATTATTCCAGCTGCGGTGGCTCACGCTTGTAATCCTAGCTACTCAGGAGGCAGAGATCAGGAGGATTGAGGTTTGAAGCCAGCCCAGGCAAATAGCTCTCAAGACCCTATCTTGAAAAAACCCATCACAAAAAAGGGTTGGTTGGAGTGGCTCAAGGTGTAGGCCCTGAGTTCAAACCCCAGTACTGAAGAAAAAAAAAAAAAATTAAGAAAATTAACTTTAAGAAATTTTATATTCTTTAACATTCTTATCCTGACCTGAATTTCATCTTAAGGTAGAAGCTTCGTTCACTGATTTGAAACTTTTCTTCTTTTCTAATGCAGATGATTAGTGCTACCAATTTCCCTCTTAATTATTGCTTTAGCTGTATCCCAAAGATTAAGTGCTTTATGCTATTCAGTTCAAAATACTTTCTAATTTTTTTGGTTTTTTTTTCCTCCGCCCCCCGCCCTCCTCGCCACCCCCTTGATACCCAGCAGAAACTATTTTGCCCTTATCTCTAATTTTGTTGAAGAGAGAGTATAAGCAGTAATAGGAAGGAACAACGGTTTTTGCTGGTTGAGATAAGGATAGCTATACAGGGAGCTGACTCACATTAATTTCCTGTGCATGTGTGTTACCTTCTAGGTTAATTCTTTTTGATCTAACCTTTTCTCTAGTTCCTGGTTCCCTTCTATTGGCTTCAGATGCTTTTAAGGTATCTGCTTTAGTTTCTCTGCATTGAGGGCAACAAACGCTAGCTAATTTTTTAGGTGTCTTACCTATCCTCAGACCTTCCTTGTGTGCTCTCGCTTTTATCATGTGCTCAAAGTCCAATCCCATTGTTGTGTTTGCCCTTGATCTAATGTCCACATACGAGGAAGAACATACGATTTTTGGTCTTTTGGCCCAGGCTAACCTCACTCAGAATGATGTTCTCCAATTCCATCCATACTTTCTAATTTTTTTACATTTCTTCTGTCATTGATTTTTAATTCCACTGAGGCAAGAGAACACACTTGGCATTGACTTGAATCCTTTTGAGTTGCTTTATGGCTCAGAACATGGTCAATTTGACAAGAGTATGTATTTCACTGTCATTAGATGTAATGTTCTGAATATCAATTAAAACAAGTTGGTCAATTAAGTTGAAGTCTTTTCTATCTTTACTGATTTTGTCTAATCTACTAATTACTGAAAAATAAGTATTGGAATGTCTATTATATTTGTGTATTTCTCTTCTGAGTTTTATTGGGTTTTGTTTCAACTTTCTGGAAATTGTGCATCTGGGTACAAAAATGTTTATGATTATGTCCTCCCAAAAGGAATCTTTTATCATTATGAAACAACCCTTTTTTTTTTTTTTCTTTCTTGGAGCACTGGGGTTGAAATTCAAGGCCTCCCACCTTGAGCCATTCCACCAGTCCATTTGTGTTCCCCTCCCACCACCAAAATAGGGTCTCAAGGAACTATGCCCAGGCTGGCTTTGAACTGCGATCCTTCGATCTCTGCCTCCAGAGTAGTTAGGATTATAGGCGTGAGCCACTGGCCCCCAGCTATAAAGCAACCCTCTTTAACCAATACTCTTTGCTCCAATATCTACTTTCATATAGTCACTGCAGCTTTGTTTTCATTACTGTTAGCATACACTAACTTTTTCCATCTTTAAACCTAATTGTGCCTTTACATTTAAAGTGGGTTTCCTTTTCTTTAATTTATTGATTTTCTTTTTTTGTGGAACTGGGATTTGAACTCAGGGTTTCTTGCTTACGAAGTAGGCGCTCTACTACTTGAGCCACACCTCCAGCCCATTTTGCTTGGGTTCTTTTGGAGATGGGGGTCTCACGAACTATTTGCTCAGGATGGTCTTGAACTATGATCCTCCCAATCTCAGCTTCCTGAGTAGATAGGATTACAGGTGTTGAGCCATCAGTGCCGGCTTAAAGTGGGTTTCATATAGAGGGCACAGCTGAGTCTTGCTTTTTTATCTGATCTGACATCTGTCTTTTAACTGGTGCTTGAACCATTTGCATTTACTGTGATTACTAATATGTGGATTTAAATATAGCATTACATTTGAGTTCAGAACATTACAATTCAGTAACACTGCTTTCATCCAACCCAACTCTCTAAGTGGTAAAGATTCTGGAAAAGAACTAGCTTATAATAAACATACCAAAATAAGTTCAAAAAGTGTTCCTTGGTCAACTTTCAGGAATTCTTGGTCCCAAACAGGTATATCGTCTGTTCGCTTTTCTTTGTTCTCATCATCTTCAGGAGGAGGAGGGTCATCCTTGTGGTGGGTGCACCACTGAATGACCTGCAACAACAAAATCGAAAAATTCTTCTGTGGTGCTTTGTTACAAAATACTCATTCCACAGCTGGGCCAACATTATTCCTGCACTGAGATAAAAACTAGCTAGAGGCTGACTTGAATAAAGTGAATAGACAAGCTTGAAAAGCAAGCACAAAGCTGTAAGAATCAATCTTTACAACCCTAATGGTTGACCAGATTAAAAACTTCTGTGTCAGGAGCTGGTGGCTCATGCCTGTAATCCTACCTACTTGGGAGATCAGAAGGACTGTCATTCCAAACCAGTCAGGACAGAGACCTTAACTCGAAAATACCCAACACAAAAAAGGGCTGGTGGAAGAGCTCAAAATGGTAGAGCACCTGCCTAGCAAGGATTAGGTCCTCAGTTCAAACCCCAGTACCACGCCCCCTCCCCCTCCCGGAAACAAACAAACAAACAAAAAAACCAAAAAAACTTCTGTGGGTTGGACATGATGGCATACACCTGCAAACCTGGCACTCAGAAGGCTGAGGCAGGAGGATTATGAGTTCCAGGCCAGTCTGGACTATACAGCAAGACTCTGTCTTTAAAAAAAAAAAAAAAAACATGAAGTCAGATAGGATAATGACTGGAAGAGAACTGCAACAATGGACTAGCCTATAGAATATAAAACCTTAAAAATCACTACAGAACCAGGCATGGTAGTACATGTCTATAATCTCAGGATTCAGGAAGCTGAGGCAGGAGGATCATGTGGTCAAGTCCAGCCTATCAGACACTGTCTCCAAAAAACAAAAATACTACAAAGAAATGACTTAGACATATATAAGCAATTACAAAAGAAATCTTAACAGTCATGCTCAGCCTTACTAGATGCAAAACTAACACTATGGTCAGATACTACTATAGTTGGGGAAAAAAATTAAGATTCTGATACTAGTTGCTGGCAACTGGATGAAGAAAACCTGAATTCTTCTTTTACAGAGAATAAATTAGTTTAACTCCCTAAACTGAATATGGGCATTTCATTATAACCAAGAAAAAAAAAAAAAAAAACGCCATATATTAGTAAGACTATTTGGTGTAGGAATAAAGAAGGAAAAGCCCATTATGTTTTCTTAGTATAGTTGAATACCTACCTTATAGCAAAACTTCAGAGAACTGACTAGCCATAGTATGTATAGCAGCTAAAACTAAAATCAATACTTCAATTATTAAGGTGCAGAATCTAGGAATTACATAGGTATTTGTTGTATAATTATTTCAATTTTTCTGTATCTTCAAATTTTGTCATAGTAAAATGTTAGGGGAATAAACAATGCTAAGAGAAAATGACACAGTTCAGAAATTATACTGTCAGGCCCCAAAAAATGAAAGTTTTTTTTTTTTTTTTTAAAGGGAAAAGCCAGCTGGGTGAGGTGGCTCCTGCCCATAATCTCAGCTATGCAGAAGGCACAGGTAGGAGGATTATAGAGCAAAGTCTGCTCAAAAAATAACTAAAGCAAAAAGGGCTGGTGGAGTGGCAGGAGTTCCTGCCTGGCAAGCATAAGGCCTTCACTTCAAACTCCTGTACCACAAAAAATCCCAGTACCACCAAAAAAACGAACAAAAAGCCAAACTAACATCGATTATTACTGGACTTGGGAGTTTCTGGTCAGATGAAACAAGATGGGAGATCTTATTATATACTTTCAGTTTTTGATCATGTGATTATTATTCAAATATGTTACATACTCAATGCAAGTAATTTTTTAAAAAACCTTCACATTCTGAAAAGTATTCCTACTTTACCCAGCCTATTAACTCTGACCTTATCTGCCATCTCTCTGTTTGGTCACTCTTTTGTAGCTCCCACACTTGTTTCCTCAAAAGAAAAGGGCATGTGCTCTTGTCTTCATGTCAACTGCACTTGCTCCCACTGCCCAGAATCTTTTTCCTCAATCTTTGCATCTTTGTTTAAGTTCATCTTCTCAGGAAAACCTTTCCCAATCATCTTTATTTTAAAAACAGCTAACCCTCCACCGACCAACTCCCTGGTATCCCCTTCACTCTCTATTCCCCATGGCTCTTCCATCTGACCTATTTTGCATGTTGTAGGTTTCCCCTTAGAATGTACACTTACGGGCAGAGATTTTTTATTTCGTTTATTTCACTGCCGTATCCCAGCACCCAGAAGGTACTTGACTCTGAACGACTGAAGCAGAAGTTCTTTTAGAAGCATTTTATATTCATTTTACATTAAGAGTATGTCAATTAGAAGGCAATACTCAGAATTTATAAGAAATGAGATCTAAGTAAAATACCACGAATTACTTAAGATAAGCACACTGATAGAACGTTTACATCTACCCTATCTGAAAATGACAAAAAAGGGCCTGGCTCAAGTGGTAGACACCCATGCCTACCAAGCACCAGAGCCCTGAATTCAAACCCCAGAACTGCAAAAAAAAAAAAAAAGAAGCCCACTAAACTGCATACTTACACTTAAGATGGTAAACTTGTTAACATGTATTTTACAGGCAGGCACTCTACCACTTGAGAATCTTTTTAAAAGCCCATTAGACTACAACATGGGTGAATCCTCAAAACACTGTGCTAAATGAAGTAAGCCAAACATGTATGAAGCACCCAGAATAGCCAAATTCACACAGATAAAAAATAGTCATTATGAGGAGCTCCTCCAGATGAGGGGATGTGATGAGGAGTTACCATTTAATGGGTACAAAATTTTAGTGTGGGATGACAAAGTTCTAGAGATGGTTATTCGTGAAAGTTGCCCAACACGGTTAATGGTACACTTTAAAAAGTTAAAAATAATATTGTTTTATATATTTTGTCACCATTTTTTAAAAAGTCCATTAGAAATATAGTCAAATGAAACAGAAAATTGACTAATAACACAAGTAAAAAATGTTCAGGCTTTGAGAATCATTTTTTATCCAGTTTAAGGAGATTAATAGCCAATGTTGATTAGAGTACAGAAAAACAGTGCAGCTTCAATTCATGCAAGAGTCAAGTTCTTAAAAGAAAGCATAAGTACACATGTACGTAAACGCAAAAATGATACCTGTTGAACCTATTCCAGGAATGGGGGTAAAGGAGGAGAAGTAAAGGAGAGCAGTGGAGGGGGTGATATATTTGATACATTGGCTTTTGTAAATGCCACAATGTGCCCTCACCCAACACAATTAAAAAACAAAAAAAAGCAGCCAGGCTCCGGTGGCTCATGCCAATGCCTGTAATCTTAGCTACTCAGGAGGAAGAGATCAGGACGACTGCAGTTCAAAACCACCCAGGCAAATAGTTTGCAAGACCCTATCTCGAAAACACCTAACATACAAAAAAAGGGCTGGTGGAGTGCCTCAAGGTATAGGCCCTGAGTTCAAGCCCCAGTACTGCAAAATAAACAGCATAACATGAAACTGCATACGGTCAATGACTTCTGAAAAATTGTAGGAAGAAGCAAACTGGAGCTGAATGAACATCCCCATCTGTATGTCTGGCCAGCTTTTACCCCAATGGATATTTCAAAAAAAAAAAAAAGGCTACTATTTTCTTTAGCGTGAGCATATAATTAAATAGCTTGCTTGTGTGTTAAGGAATCATGTGTCCTGCAACACTAAAATCCTAATAAAGGGAATTCCTCACGCTTACACACGAGGTAAGGCAATCAACAACAACAAAACACACCAAAAACATATCTTTTAGTTTCGAGCTCCTGTTGGGACACAGTAATACAAAGATGAACAATTTTTCTTTTTGCTAAACACATATCATACTCAAAGTTAACAGGGACAGTAGTGGGAATGAATTGTTAAATATTCCTTTGCTTTTTACTTTACCCATCTCAAAAATAAAAACCTAAGGAAGATAGTCATGATTCAATCCCATGGTGTTCTGTGTCTACAAAAAACAATTTAGTAATATTTATAAAAATTTAGGTGCATAAACCATCCTGTGACCCAAATATTTTATATCATAGAGAAGTGCTCACATAGGAGTACCAAATGTAGAAATCTTTCTATCAGTAGAAGCACATGTGCTCAGCATGTGCAAGGTCCCAGGCTTATCACTGAATCTTTGATTCTCAATGACAAAGGTGAACCTTGATAATGAAGCAAACAGAACTCTTTTCTGTATACTACTGTTTAAGAACATCCAAGTGTCACTCAGATAACTGTTGAACTCTCGGGATGGCAGAGTGACTGAAGTGGTAGAGCACAAGGTCTGGCATTTATATCCCAGTACTGCTCCTCCCCCCCTCCAAAAAATCAAATATAAAGTAATTTTAAGCAGCAAGTTTTAGTACGTTGTTGAATACTTATCAGTGTTTTAAAGAGAATGGACTTAGCTGACATCAGCTAAAATACTGATGTATATACCTCAATAAAATCTATACCAGAGTAAGTGTAGCTAACAAATATATAGTCTAAAAAAAGTTACCTACTCTTTCCTATTTCAAGATTAGAAATACCACGATAGATTCGGAATTACTCATCCACACAAAGGAACAATGGAAGCACGTAAAAGCTTAAAAACTGAGTTCATTTAAGAGTCTAGCCAGGCGTGAAGATGCAAGCCTAAAATTACAACACCCAACACCCAGGAGGCTGAAACAGGAGATCTTGAGTTCAAGACCAGCCTAACTACATAGTGAGTTTCTGTTTCAAAAAAAAAAAAAAAAAGAAAAGAAAAGAAGGGTAAGCGTCAGTGGCTCACACCTGTAATCCTAGCGATTTAGGACAGAGATCAGGAGGATCCTGGTTCAAAGCCAATCCTGGGCAAACAGTTCATAAGCCCTATCTCGAAAACACCCATCACAAAAAGGGGCTGGTGGAGTGGCTGGAGGTGTAGGCACTGAGTTCAAGCCCCAGTACCATACAACTCTTAAAAATTAAACCTTTTTAAGACCTTACCTAGGACTGGGGGTGTAGCTCAGTGATAGAACATGTGTTTAGCATGCTTGAGAGCACCAAAAAAAAATAAATAAAAGACTTTACCTTTTTTAATATTGCTGCATTAACATTTGGTAGAGGAACTGGGTCATCATCTCCTTCATCATCCATTCCCAAATCTAAGAAAACCAGAAGAGAATGGCCATCATTTCTCAACTCCATTGTAATGCTTATACCAACTAGCCTAGGTCTCCAGCAAGTACTGTAAGACATCCTGTCTGGATGAAAATTAAAACTATTTTACTTAGAACGGTTTATCTTAGAGCATTTAAAATCAGTGGTTCCTAACAATGGGTTCTTGACCCACCCAAAACTCTTAAGTTATGAGTAGATAAATATAGAACAGTATATAAAGGGAGCTCTTAATTAGAAGGAAAATAAGTATGGTTAAATGACTAGACAGTCATCTGGAAAAATATTAGAAGTATTAAAGCTGGACCCTTATCCTACTATTTATACCAAATTATCTAAATGGACTGCATTTAGAAAGCAAAGCAATGAAAAGTGTTCCCAGTAATAAAATCCAAATCTATTCAAATCTGAAGACCAATGATGTACATACACACATGCATGCAGCCACTGACAAAAACAAAGCTGACAGCTCCATACATACTAGTATGATCTCAAGGTAAGTTTTTAAAAACTAGGTATAAAAAGACAGATGTCATCTGAATAAAAATGAGAATATGCTTATGTATTAGTCTAAAATATTTCCAGGACACTTAGCAGTATTATGTCTAGGGAAGCTAAAGACAATATGAGTTGATGTTCAATCTATCCATCTACCCATCCAAGGTCTCACTAGTTCCAGACTGACCTGGGAAGGTAGCCCAGGCTGACCACGAACTCCTAATTCTCCAGCTTCAGCCTCATGAATGCTAGGATTACAGGCATGCACCATCATACCCAGTTGATATACTTATTTTCAACACACACACCCTTGACATGTTGCTTATCATGCCCTTATTACTCTATAAGTTTCTCTTTACCAGAAAGGTCTAACTTTCAACTTTTCAAAATGGTTGATGAATCCTAAAGAGAAATTCATCCATATTATTTAAAAATTCTGAATAAAAACAGTTTTTAAACCAAATGGATCTATCCATTAGCTTCTAAACTAAAGAAGAGCTGCCTCATAAAGTTACTTAATAGTTATCAAGTACCAAAATTAGAGGCCAAAAGTTACTACAATAATGTATTGCTTACAGAAGACTATCAGTGATGCAGACATGGCTAACGCTGAGTCACACATTTAAGTCCGTAACATATACCAGATGCCGTTGTTGGCAGTAGAAATCAGCTATAAATACAGAAGCATGGGAGGAACTGTTGCAATTTGAGAATGTCTCTTTGCTGAGATATCATTCTAGTAAAATCCTAAAAGAGGAGAAAACACTTAAGTGGAGAAAATAGCAAATGCAAAGGTCTTCTCATAGGAGCGTCTGGCATGTTCCAAAAACACTAAGGGCTGGATGCAATGTGCATCTGTAGTCTCAGCTATACAAGAGGCTGAGGCAGAAGAATCACAAATTCAAGAGTAGCCTGGGCTACATAGTGAGACTCTCTAGGGGGAGAAGGAAAAAAATGTCTAATAATGTGCCAGCAAAAGAAAAGTAAAATGAAAGAAGTCAGGGAAGATTAATGTTTATGGAGTGAGAAGGATGGCACTGACCAATAGTAAAATGAAGGATGTCAGAGGAACTGTTACTTTTAGAAAGGGATCAGAGCTCTGGTTTCATAAATTTGAGTTATCCATTAGATATCCAAAGATGGTTGCATATGGAAGTCTAGAAATAAGAGATCAGAATTGTAGATAAGTTTTGGAAATTAGTATGAGATGTTTATAATGCTATGCGTCTATAAGCAAAAGGACGAATGCATACAGATATAATAGAGATCTAATGAGCGTGCCCTAAGGAACTACAGTCTTTAAAGATTGGAGACAGAAGGCTAAGAGTGAAGTAAGTAGTAAGTGAAGTATCCTAGAAGCCAAGTGAGAAGTGAATGAAGCGTCAAATACTGTCAATAAGTCAAAAATACAGACAATGCACTTGACCATTTCACCACAAGGTGGTCGTGTGGTTTTATAAAGCAGTTCCAGTGGAGTGGAAAAAGAGTAGATCCAGAAAGAATTTGATTCATCTTATCCTGTATGGATGGATTCACTCATCTCCCCTCTCCAACTTCCCATCAATACTTGTTCCTGATCCCATCTCAGCTTAGAGTAAAACTGTAAAATGACTGTCTTGAGTTTCATTTGAATCAAGTCATTTATGTTTTTCCTGAACAAGTATGAAATAATTTTAATCAAGCAAGAGGAAAAGTTACACTGTAAAATATGTGTTTGGGGAAATAATACATTCAGGAACAACACAGACAACCAGCTTGTTTAGATTCAAATGTTATTTGGAATTACGCTTAATTAAGTCACATTAAAATTAAGGTCCTTGTTGTTATAAAGAATTGCCTGTCTACCATTTAAAATGATGTGCACTATGTTTTTGCTTTTATAATAAATACACAAGTAGCAACAGTCATTCCTTTAAGCTATCTACTTTCAGGGACTTCTGAAAGACACCTGTATCCTGATACCACACCCTGGACCTGAACAAATAAGCCAATCAGCATGTACACATGCCAAGATTTTCAATTCTGATTTTCCTGTGTTAAAAGGATTTTATTTTGTTTTCTACGTCACATGAAACTCTAACCAGAGACAATGCAGATGGCAAAACAAGGATAGCAGTTAAGTTGCCAAATTCAAAAGACTCCAGTCCTTAAGAAGTTAGACTCCTACATAAGAACATGGGTACGGAAGATAAAACCATTCACCTTTTATCCTCAAAGGATACAAAGGGAAAGGATCATTTAACTCTTGTTATCCATCAGTCCACTTGCTTTAGTGATCAAAGTTGGCATGAAAACCTTCAAGGAGCCCTATGTCCTTAAAATTGGCAAATGCTTCTTTGAAGCAGCACAGGACAGATTAGTATGAGGCACCAACTAAGATAAAAGAACATTTCCACTGCCAAAGCCAAATATTCAGGCAGCAATTTTGCTATCACTTTCTAAATCTTTTTAGATAAAGCCTTACTCACCACCCACCTTTAGAGATACTTGGATTGTTTTCACACTCTTTGTTACCATACTTCTTCATTCAATAGTCACTTGATGAACAGTGACTGTGGAATATACCAAGGGGTTTAAAACTTAATAGACGTTCTCTATGTAAGTTACCAGGATACAGGATGCATGTACCACGAATGGTACCAACTATCCAAAAGGTTGTGTTCACCTTTTTATCAGACAACAAGTCATTTACTTAGAAAACAGAAGACACACCCCTCTGTGATTCGGTTTCTGCTTCTACCAAACCAAAAAATCTGCATTAAAAGTCCTCTATTTTATCTAATATGAAATCCTAAGTGACTAATCCATAATATATGAATCTGGCAGTCACTTGTCACCTAGAAATGCTCCCTCTTCCCTGCTTCATATATCCTACACCACTGATTGTCCAATTCTGACTTCTGTTCTTGACACCCCAACCTTGCCCTAACCTCATCTTCTAGAATTATACTTTCATAACTCACTGTGCAAGGCAAGTCTTCATCTAGCTTTCTACGACTCGGGGGGCAAAATCCACATACCCAATTGCCTAGCAGATTGCTACACATGCTCAAAATCATTTTCTTTTTCATTTACCTCAAACTCATTTACAGCTCTGCCAACCCCAGTATTAAAATCCTATTCCATCCCAACAAATCTCCACTATGGACTTCAATTTTACTTTTCCTTAATTAATCCTATTTCACCTCAGCATGAGCTCCCAAAACACCTTAATTTTACTAGATTTTACACATATATCACCTCACTAGTACTGCACACTGTAGGAAACAGAAGGAACACCAGCCAATATGCTCCCACAGCACCACCTGGCACAAAACTTTACTAATGCAATAATTACACCAAGTGACAGTTTGCTTTGTTTAGTGTCTGGCTCCCTTCCCGTTTATGAATTCTTAAACACCAAAGAGCATATCTTATCTTCCTTCTTTTCACCAGCATATAGTTCATCTTTGACACATAACCCTTCTGGAGTTTTGTTTTGTTTTTTTTTTTGAGACGGGCCTTGCTAGGTAGCCCAGGCTGGCCTCCAACTCAAGATCCTCCAGCCTCAGCCTCCCTTTGGCCTTTTCCTCTTTCATTATTTAAAAGCTACAGACCTTTCGTGTTTAAGAACACTTTTTTTTTTTTTGGCACTACTGGAGTTTGAACTCAGAGCCTTGAGCTTGCTAGGTAGGTGCTCTACCACTTGAGCCACACCTCTGGCTCTAAAAAAAAAACTTGTGATTTTTTTTTCCCCTCATCAATTTTAGACACTAATTTGTAGGTCTCCTATGTACTATTAATGTCCACCAGCCCACTGTAACACTAAGAAAAGTTCCATGTTAACTAGTAAGGTTTTAAAGTTTCAGGACCTGTTTTCTTACCTCACTTTGTCATGCTGCAAAATGGGATGGCAAAATTGACAAACAGCTGCCTAGCGAGCATGTGGTCCTGAGTTCAAACCCCATACCAGGGGAAAAAAAAAAAAAAGGACAAAAGGGAAAGCTTGTTCAAAAAAGAAGTCACGTACACACTCTACAAAGCTTACTCCCTCCACTGAAACAAGATGCTTTATATACCTGCTGTATAGCAAGAAAACCTTTTATCAAAAGCTTTAATTTTTGTCACTAGAAAACATAAATCCAAATTTACTTGAAACAGAAATGGGCCATTATCTGAAGCTTGGAAATTACTTCAATCTTACAGTTTTACCCATCTAATACAGGGGAAAAAGTTCACTAATTCAAATAGTACAGAAAGGATGGCCTGAATCAGAACAATGCAGCTTATACTTCAAAGAAAATGCAAATTTTACCCTCTCATAAAATTGAGGTTTGTGATAAACTGTGGCTTATATAAATACAGTAAGTTGTCTCAAATTACTCATTTCTTTCCTGTTCCTTCCACCCATGTTTTCTATAACTTACCTTCCAACATGGTCTTGATGGTCACAGATTGTTTGGCAATTTCTACATCGACTTCAAATATCTCTCCATCAGAACTCTGCAACTTAATTGAAGGCATCTAAAAAAGGTATATTGAATGTGAAACTTAAATAACTATTAGTGCTACATGACATTTCATCAACTACTAATTTAGTAACTATAAAGCCCTAAGGACTTACAATACATAATCCTGTAAAACAGTATTACAAGTAGTTCTTCAGACTAGCCTACAAATACTCTCATACATCTTTTTTTTCCAAAGTAGGACTCCTAACAGAAGCTTTTAAAGTCTACCTTACTGAACTCATTATTAGTATGAATTTAAGAGTTATATTCTATACCTTTGCTTAGAATAAAATATACTTATTTGCTTCCTGCCGGCCTGTCTGCTCCAGAAAAGATACTCAAATTATTCAAATATGACCACTCCATTTGAATATTAACCACCAAAAATAACCACCTGCAAACCTAAGGGAGGTCAGTTCAAAATAAACAAAGCTACCAAATGAAGTGGTAACTTCCTCACAGAAAGACCAAATGAGTTCAGATCCAAAGAGTAGATCAGGATATGCTCATTCTGAGCCAATCCAAGACCATATACAAGAGAATAAAAGGGCTTAAGTATGAGCAGATGTCAATACAATTCCCTAAAACTCATAAGGGGCTTATATTTTGCAGTCCTTTTTATCTTTCACTTTATTTTTCATTATTCACCGTCCAGGTGACTAACTCTGAGATCTTCTTATAAGCTCTGCATAAAAATAACCTGCCACTTGCTTTTAAAAAACCATTTATTAATTCAGATAAAATTATGCGTCATTAGGAAAAAGATCTCTCTTCCATGAAGGTAAGCAATTAACTTCAAAGGTCCTGAATTCCGACCAAAAAAAAAAAAAAAAAAACACCTAAAACTGAAAGTTCTAAACCAGCAATTTCTTCAGATTCTCCCACTACCCCAAGAAAAGCAATAAAACCTGACTGTAAAAATTAAGTCACAATCTCTTTAAAATTCATTCACATGGTTTCTTGGCCTTTTGGCTAAGATCAAGTATGGTATGTTTTTATCCATTTAATAAAGTTCATATTTACTAAAGCCCCATGTTTCTGAGGTATTCACAACTCTGTGATGTTACCAAACTTAAGCTTTATAGGTGGGTTGTAGGAAAAAAAAAAAAAAGAATGAATTTCCAGAAAGGTGCAGAGTTTACCATTTAAAACATTTATTGCACCCATTTTAGGTTCAAAGACTTTAAGACCCACTGTATCATTTAAAATATTCATTTAGCCTTCCTGAGAAAACTGTTCCTATCCCCCCACAAACAAGCTGTTGAAGGAAGCAAAAAGGTAAAGCATATTTTACAATCAGCAACTGAAGTATTCAGCTCTCACTTATCCATGGTCGGTGAGAATCAAATTTCACTCTTTAGCTCACAAACATGTCTGCTTCTCCATGTTACTTACTGCTTTCTATTAATGTAGTTGTACTGCTCAATGGAGAAAGGAGCAGAGCAGCAGACCCTCCGTGTGACAAGGCAACAAAAGGCAGCCCGAAGGAAAATATTTCAGTGAGCTTAATTTTTAATTACAAGCTTTTTGTACTCCATAATACTGAAATGAACATTCCAGAACACAACGGTGCAGTTGGTGAAATTACTTTAAAAGCAAAACGTCCATTTCACATTTCCTTGAAATAATTCACAATAAATAATATGCTTAGTCATAGTCAAATTCAGGTATCAGGTTACTCCTAAGGGAGCCAGGATGTTATTAAATAACAGGGAGACAATCGGTTAATCTGTAATTCGATGCACGCTGTAATCCTAGACTTAACACTCGAAAACTTTTAGTGTTAAATGAGAATTAAGTGTAAAAATTTTAAGTAATAATGGATGAGATTATGATTTGACATGCTTTCCAAAAACATTTCTTCAACTCTTTAGGCTCCTATAACTGGAAATGAATAACCCTCCAAGGATGGCATAAACTCTTGTATCGCATCATACAACTTATTAATAAAAAAAAAACCCTAAGTTTCAAGTGACGTGAAATTCTGACATCTGTTTTAGACTACAGGATGGAGGAGATTGCATCGTTCTACGCCACAGATAAATTCTTCCTGTGACACTGACGAAAAACGCATGCCCCTCAACCCCAAACCTGAAGTCTCCATCGAAAGAGGAACCACAGCAGGTGAGCATTCCATCCCTTCACAAAGTACAGCCTCCTCAAGTTTTAGAGAGTCGGGGCTCCTAAGCCATACACAACGGCGATGGCATCTGCTATTACGATACTTATTTCGGCGGCTGCGGGCCGCGGAGAAACATTGCAGAAGCATTCGCAGAAAGCAGGCTGCTGTCTGCAGAGCCTCGGCGGCAGCACGGTTACGACGGTAGCGAGTGACGCCACAAACAGGGCAGAGAGAGGAAGGGAGCCAAGAATCCAGCCGACTACCACGCCAGCCTCCCGCCCAGCCACCACCACCACCACCACCACCACCGGGCCCGCGCCCACGCCCGCGGGCCGTGGATCCCCACTCCAGTACGCCGCCACCCCCTCCCTGGTGCCCGGGCCTTGCAACCGAGCCCCGCGCCGGCCGACGCTGGCCGCAGCACAGGACAGCCGCCCGGGACCGGGACTCTCACCCCCCGGCGCCGTGAGGACGCGCGGCCTGGGCGAACCGAGCGCACAGTGGGCGAACGGAGTCGGCCATGGGTTCCACCTTGCCTGAGGCGAGGCCAGGCCGGGCCCAGTGGCCGCCCGCCTCGCGCCACTCAGCCCACCATCAGGATGCCGCGGCCCCTTCCAGCTCGTGGACGGCTACTCACGGTGTTTGGTCTTAAGGAGACGGACGGCAGGAGGCTGACGGAAGCGGCGCAGAGTGCGCGCCAAGCAGAAGAGAAAGGCGAGAACAAGGCAACTACCGCGACGCCGCCCGCGGCGTCAGCTTTTATAGGGACGGGCGCGGGCGCCGAGGACCCCGGGACCCGCGGCGTCACACAGCCGGCTGGGCTGGCCACCGACAACGCCTGACGGCAGCCGAGCACGGCGGGGCGGGCCGAGGGCACCGGTGGGGTCGACCGGCGAGAGGTGGCGAGGCGGCGGGCAGAGGAGGGGCTTCCGCCATACCCCGCCCTCGAGAGTGTGACCCTCTCCCTCAAAGCGGGCGCCGGCACCGACTGAGATACCAACGCGTCCCGGAAGGGTCTTTCAGGCAGGGGCTGTCCTGAGCGGAGTGAAAGACCCCACTGAAAAGCCTGGAAACAACAAACAACAAAAAGGGGTGTGGATTGTGGAGGTGTGGCGTGCTCTGTGTGTTTCGCTGAACGGATCCTTCCTGCCCTGCCCTGCCCTCACTCTCCCACACTAACCCCACGAGGTGAAATATCAGTCTTTTCCTGTTTACAGAGAGGGAACGGGCTCCAAACGCTTAAGCAGCAGAGGCAGGACCTGAACCTGACTCCACAGTTTGATGTTCTCAGCCTTTATTTCCCACCCTTGAGTTCTGAATCGGCTTTTAGGTCACAAATAACCCTTGTGGCAGGGAAATCTCACGTCTTGAGAGAAGGCATCTGTGTAGCAGTGAGGATCCACTCTTTCAGTAAACAGGCATGGGACACATGGTGCTGGGACTCCAGCAGGGAGCCAGGGAGCCAGGCCCCAGCCTGGTCAGAACTCTTATATGGGCCGCTCCCGGAAGGCTGTGATACAGTGAATAGGATGAACCAGCTCTAAAGGAAAGAGAAAGCCCCCACCTCACCTGACCTCTGTTAGAGATTGTGCAACTACCCAGCCCTGCCCTGTTCTGCCTAGGGAGCGTTACCATGTCCTCCCTAGGAGGCTAAGGCGCCTGGCTCACCTAGTCAGCAGACACCTGATGGTATTCCTGACACCAGGAAGACAAAAGACACTTGCACACCAATGCTCCATAAAGAAACCAGAGACCTACAGCCCCGCTAGAATGGGACTGGGCTGAGCAGCTCCTTGGGTTACCAGGTTTTTGTCTGCAAGCAGTGGTATCCAGTGTCTGCCAGGTGCCACAGCTGATGACAGAAGATGAAAGGCCCTGAGCGCTCATGCTTTTTTTTCCTGCAGCATGGCTCTGCCCTTTGTAGCTCCAGTTTCAGGCCTTCTAGGCCAGGCACACTGGGTGGCCTTTGCTTCCCAAGGCATACAGGCTGGCCCTTTATAAATCTGCTGCGCATCCTAAGCAGGACTGGGCAGTACCATGTCACACAGCTAGCCTGATGATCCAGCACAGGGCCTGGCACAAAGTAAATGTTTTTCCAAATGTCTGAGAAACCTCAGTATTAGAATCATCAAGCAGAAGCTTGCTTTAAAAATGGAGATTTGGGGGCTGGGCTGTAGCTTAATGGGAGATCACATGCTTAGCCCTGGTTCCAATTCTCCCCACCCTGAGATTTCACTTACTTTTATTTAAGGTACAGATTACCCCGGGAATGATACACAAAATAGTTGCCTTAGGGGAAGGAAACTAGGTGGCTGGGTACAGAGGGTAGGGTGATTTTTTTCACTGTATGCTCTTTCTGCCTTTTGTATATCAATCCACATGAATATATTACACATTCAAATTTTAATTCCAAGAAATTGGACAGCCAGGTGACAGTGACTCATGCCTGTAATCCTAGCTCAGGAGGCAGAGATCAGGAGGACAGTGATTTGAAGCCAGCCCAGGCAAATAGTTCCTGGGACCCTATCTTGAAAATAACCCAAAAAAGAGCTAGTGGGTTGGCTCAGGTGGTAGAGTGCCTGCCTAGCAAGCCTGTAGGTCCTTAGTTCAAACCCCAGTCCCACAAAGAAAAAGGACATAGCAGAGCAACTCCTCTGCTACAATCTATTGAAAGCTCTCAACACAAAAGTTTGTAATAAAATTTTTTTAAGTAAATAAATATAATAAATTGGCCTCAAGTCAAGAAAAGGCAGATTTCTGGGTCTACTTTCAATCAAATAGCCTAACTCCCTGGGAACAGGTTTCTCTGCCTTTTAAGTGAGTTCTCCTGGAGTAATTCTTCAGCCCCTCTTTAGTAGGGGCTCAGGGATGAAGCACTGCTAAGGAGGAACAAGCAGCATTTGTCAGAGGTGACTGGTTAAGTTCCAAGGGTTCCCTCCCTGGAACCCTCCACTCTAGAGACCAGATTGGTTGCAGGACTGTGAAGTACAGGCTGGGAATGACTTATCCGCCCCCTTTTGTCCATAATTGCCAGCCCAGGTCAGAAAGAACTGACCCACAGAGTCCCCTTGGTGTGGGGGGGGTGCTGAGGGGAGGGAGATGCCCCTGGCTCCAGAGCCCTGCAGGCTGAGGTCTTATCCTTACTTCAGTCACCCCACACACCATGCAGTCAAAACCCCTTGTTCTACAGAGGAAGGAAACAAAACCAAATAGACTTTCCCAGTACCAGTCACGGAAAAGCAGATTTGAGGCTCCAAGCACTATGGCCCAGATACTGAATCTTAGTTCCAGAAAGTCCAGGAACATTTTCTGATTTACACTTGTTTCCAGCATTACTACCTCCACGGAAACTAAATGCCTGGGATTCAAGCAGTCCATATGGAAAACTCTGGTTGTTATGGTGAATTTATTTCCAAAGATGAGCCCCCTTTGTAAATGGATCTTCATCACTGTCAGAGATTCACAGGATTCCTACAAGGAACAACCCCCACAGTGCAGTGCACCAAAAAGGGGGCTTTGTAGCTCAGAAGTCAGTTCACATTCCTTTTTCAGGCATTCACCATAGAACAGACTCTGGACTCTGGATGTGTGTTCCAGCCCAGAGGATAGTGTGTGAGCTAAGAAGTTATCCAGTCTGCTTGGTCAAAGATCTCCAGGCTGCAGCCTGCTGTTGTGTCACCTCTCTGCCCTGTTTCCCTGTTAGGAACTTTTGAATCAGACCATCTGCCTCTGTTCTATGATCATAGCTGAATTACTTTACCTCTCTAAGCCTACCTTCCTCTGCTGGAAGAGTTGGAATGAGGAGGCTGGAGGTGGGGGAAGAATTGAGCCAGAGCACCACAGTTAGCTACCAGTGTGAGGCTCTGAAAAGAGGCTCTCTCCCACTTCTTCCTTTAGCCCCTTGGCCCAAAAACAGGAGAGATGTGAACCCTTAGATACATTTGAGGGCTCTGAAAGTGAAGAGAACTATCCCTTGGTCTCTGGTAAGGTCTAAAGAGTCTTCCTTGATGGGCGTGATGATACACATTTGTAATCCCAGCACTCAGAAGACTAAAGCAGGAAGAGAGTTCAAGGCCAGGCTGGATAAAATAAATAAAATAAGACAAATAAAAAATAAAATTCAGTGGTAGAATGCTTGCCTAACATGTGTGAGGCCCTGGGTTCAATCACCAAAAGAGAGAGAGAGAAGGAAATAAGAGAACTACCATTTTGGCACACTCAAGTTCAAAGATTCTGACTTTAAAATTTCACGCAGCCACACGTGTGCAGAAATAATGCAGACCTGATGCTGACCACTTGTTTTGAACATCTTGTGGTCTGATCCTCAGACTTCTTGTCTATAAACTGGAGTTTTAAAACAATAATGTGACAAAACAGGCTGTCATGAAAATTGTTTTAGTCACCAGAATAGCCAGACTTCAAAGAATGGCAAACCAGGTGTTAACAAGTGTGTGTAACAAGTGGAACTCTTACACATTGTTCATGGCCGTTCAACTTGGTACACTTCAGCAAACTGCAAGTACATACCAAAGCTAAACAAACGTACCCAGTGATTCTGCAGTTCTAATTCTGGGGATATGCCCAGCAGAAATAAGTGCTATGTCCACCAAAAGATATGTTTAATATTCAGGACAGCTGTATTAGTGCAATTTTGTTGCTATAAAAAATACCTGAAGCTGGGTACTTTATAATGTAAAGAAGTTTATTTGATAAACAGAGGGCATAAACAGCAAGGTGCTGGTGTTCTGGTAAAGTTCCCACTGGCTGCATCACAACATGGCAGAGAAATGGGAACAGATCTCATACAAAAGGGGCTAAGTACATGGAGTTGCCTTGCTGTAGAATAAGCACTCTCTGTCAAGAACTAATTCACTCCACAAGATCAGTATTAATTCCCTCCAAGGGTGGTGCCCTATGATCTAATTACCTGACACTAGGAAATACAAGAGGTGAGGAGCTTCTTAAAGGTTTTACCACCTCCACATCACTACACTTCAGACCAAGCATCCAAGGACATGAACCCTTAGGAGATATTCGCAAACCGTATCCCAACTATAACAGCAGTTTTATACATAAGAGTCAAAAATTAGAAATAAATCTATCCATTGTAAAAATAAAGAATAATCGGCAGTATATTCATATAATGGAATACTAAACAGCAGTGAAAAAAAACTACTGATGTAAATAACATGGATAAATCTCATGCTGGGTTTTTGGTTGTTTTTTTTTTGGTGGGACTAGAGTTTGAACTCAGGGCTTCATGCTTGCAAAGCAGGTGCTCTACCACTTGAGCCACGCCTCCAGTCCATTTTGCTCTGGTTATTTTTTGGAAATAAGTGAGTACATATTGTACGATTCCATTTAAATAAAGAAAAAAAAAACAAGTAAAAGCTAACCTAAGGGGAGGGAAGACAATAAACAATGTTTACTTTTAGCAGGTGGCAGGTATTGATGAGGAAGGTCTCTGGAGCTCCAGACACTTTCTATCTTGACCCAGGTGGTGGTATCATATGTGTATATAATATAAAAACTCACTAATCTCCAATTATGTTTGTGTGCCTTACTGCATGTAAGTCATAAACCAGAAAGAGGGAACAGTGACAGTGTGATAACCAGTGTCCATTCCTGAAGGACCCAACACTCACAATCGAGGCTGGAGGAGCAATGGGAGATGCTGGGGGCGGGGGGGAGGTGGGAATTTCTGCAAGGTCCCTACACCTAGAGAGAGGATGTATTTGCCCATGGCTCCAGAGTTCAACCTTGGACCT